AATACAAAACAAATTCTTACATTGCTGCTGGATAGCACTTGCTGGCTGCTTCTTTGTGTGTGTTTTTTTTTTTCTCCAGCTGACATTTTTAGCTTGATGCAGAGAAAAATCTATTTCTTTTCTTATGTAAGCAACCAGAGCACAATTTTTATGATTTTGAATGCAGAACTGTGCCCGTGGAAGTGAAGGGCCTAGATCCCACAGGTTTCATTATAGAATGGAATTGGCTATCATAAAAAAAATGGTTTTATTCTGCACTGTACCTTTGGCACTTGCAAAAGTTTAATATTAATTTTTAAAAGTCTCATATAAATATCACCTCCACCTCGAAGGAAATTAGCTAATGAGTGTTCCTTTTAAATTAAGTGGCATAACGTGTGAATAACTGTTCAGTGCTTGGGAGGAGGTAATATACTTTAGCCTTGAAAATACTGTGCAGATCTAGAAAGCTGCTGCACAAACAAATTTTCATTATGGAATTGGCTATCATCAAAAAAATGGTTTTATTCTGTATTTATATCAAAGTACCTTTGGCACTTGCAAAAGTTTATATTAATTTTTAAAAGTCTCATATAAATATCACCTCCACCTCGAAGGAAATTAGCTAATGAGTGTTCCTTTTAAATTAAGTGGCATAACGTGTGAATAACTGTTCAGTGCTTGGGAGGAGGTAATATACTTTAGCCTTGAAAATACTGTGCAGATCTAGAAAGCTGCTGCACAAACAAATGCTTTGAGGCAAACCAGAACTGTGTGTAAAAGTGAATATATGGCCTGTTGAACACAGCAGCCAGATTTTCCTTCTGGTTTTCTCTCTTCCATCTCATTGAATTAGGGAGGGAGCATGAATATAACCAGAAGCAGCATCTTCTTCCAGCCCACTCATGGATACTGCCTTGCAAACGCTTGCAGTTCCTGTCGTGCAGTCTCTGAGGTGCAAGTACTGGCATCTACCCTCATGTTGATAGGCATCTGTTTCATTGCCTTTGTTTTACCAGGTCTGTATTTTCTCTTCTGCCTGCTCCTTGCTGATACAGCTGTGGAGCCTGGGTACCAGATGAACACATCTGCTCCCTGTGCACCAAGGCCTTCACCCTTCTCCTCCTCCTCCTCTTCTAGCTCCTTATGTCCAAAGCCTACCTGAGCTTGTTCATCACCTCCTGATGAACCTCTTGTCAAGTTTCCTCGTGGTGAGGCCAGTCCCAATCTCAGCCATTCAGATCAAGCCTAACCCACCATTTGCATCTATTTGGTGGTGATGCATCAATAAAGAATTCTAAGACAATATAGCCAATGATGAAAAACTCAAACATGTAAGTGCTGATAAAATGGAACTGGGTTGTCTGTTGACTGGACCCTTTCCCTCCCTTTTCCACATCTCTAACACTGTTGTAGATACACTCCAAAGCAAGATATATGTTAATGTTACCACTTCTATTTATCTTGCTTTATTAATCTCTCAGCCTACCACCAGGTCTTTTTCCTTCTTGTTCAGAACTGAGTCTGTCATGTCAACTGAACAGCAACTTTCTTGACAAAGTGCATATCATCAGCAGCTGTTAGGGCATGCTTTATGGACTGCTGTTGTTTTTTATAAATTAAGTTTACTTCTACTTCTCCCAGCATTCAGTTGTAGCTTAGATGTTTGATTTGTGAGGCAAAAATTGAGGTTCATGAAAGCAGATCTTACCATATTGTTACTGGCTACTTTCTCCAAGTTTATCATCACACAGCTTCAACAGAGGGACACCACTTTATCAGATGTGTTGGAAAAAAAATAGATGCAAAAGGTTAATTATGTTGAATTGCTTTTTCAAGTAGAATTCAACTTCCTTGGGGAGAGAGGTGTTTCAGTCAATGCTGCAAGTATTGAGCTGAGGCAGAGTCTGAGCAGCGAGGCAAGTTGACCAGTGAGAGCACTAATAAAAGAGATGAGCTTGGTCTTAGTTTGGAGATCATTAAGGGAACTGAGACATTATTAAATCTAGAAATGGGACCTAATGGAAGTCAATGAGAGAACAACTATAGATATTTAATGAGCAACACTGCACCACGTTCTCATCTCTTCAGAAATAAATAATGAGATAGTTGAATTTCTCTTTGAACAACAATAAAAGTAGAATGTGAAAACAGCTTGGGGAAAAAAATAATCCTTTGGGCCATCCTCTCTGTAAGTGATTTCTACAAGCCTTAATTAATTATTGGAGTTGCTTGTGAGACAAGCTTATGTGAAACTATGGCACCATAAAATGTCTGTTTAGCAGTTAGCCCCAAACCACAACTAGATTACCTTGAAACTTGGAGAGTTCATTACCCAGAATTATTGAAAAGTTGCCAATGTAATTTCATTCTGCTGAAGAACAGAGGATGAATTCTGCATGAAAATATCTCTACACCAGAGATCCTGGTAACCAATCTTTGTTAGGAATGATGCCTTACACTGTTGCTGTCACATTAACCTTCAGGTATTTTGTACATAGGAATGGGTCTGTTATTGCCACACTTCTGACTGGAAAATTCTCATTATACATTTGAAAGGAAAAGCAAAATCAAGAGGTCTGCAACAGGGGGGGGTGTTGGAAAGGAGGTAAACTCAAGCTGGAGCTACTTCAGCCAGTTTATTGCATAGAGAACCTCCTCACACAGGCAAATCCTCACCCTGGGCAGGAGAGCTGGGGGCAGTGAGGATGCAGTGGAGACATGAGGGTAGTTACACCATGGAGCCTTCTGCATCCAGCTCAGCTGGGGAACTGGGGTCCTTTTAACTCCCTCTGTTGCCAACAGGCAAAGAGACCAGCTTCAGCAACAGGCATCTTAAGTTGCCCATGTTAGACCTATTTTGCAACATCCTGTTCATCCTGACAGCAACCTTGGACTGGTCTTTTGTTGGGGAGCTGAGCTGGCTGCACAACCATGGAAGAGATTTGAGTTTTGAGGATTAATACCCATGGCAGCTCTTCAAAACATGTCTGTCCTTCATAGCACTCCTAGGTGGAAGTTTCGTGTGTTGAATGGTGTGTGGTGGGGTTTTTGTTGTTGGTTGGTTGGTTGTAAAACTTTTCTTCTTGCCTTCAGAATGCCTTTTGGGCTAGATTGTGCCTATTTCTTCCTTAGATTTAAGCAGTTTGTATGATTCGAGGGTGTAGATACAACCAGACTTTTAAGAAGGTGCAGAGCAGTAGTTCTCTCCTAGGGAAATCTGAATTTAGATGAGTATCTATATGAAGGGAGTGGAAGAGCTGTGATGTCTTCAAACACTTTCAGGCTATGATGGGCACTTTTTCTGATCAACATGACTATAACTAAGATCCAAGAAAATCTAATTTTCGATAAGACTTTCTGGTTGTAATTCCTTTCCCCTTCTTCTTTGACCTTAGGCAGAGCAAAGGGAAGCTGAGAATTGACCAGTGCTGAAAGGCCAACAGGATGCCGGGTGGTTTCTGCCACTCTCAGCATGTTTGATTCCATACTCCCATTTCTTTGGGTGAAGCAGATGTCAGAGTTCCTATTGAGTTAACAGGGTCCAAGATTTTAGCATAACTGCTCATGTTTTGTGCTGGAGTGAGGCACCTGGTGCCCTCCCCTCTAACACTGCTGAGTACTGAAGTTTTTTTGAGCTCCAGAGCTGGAAAAGAAATATTTTCCTAAAGCATCTCTGGAGGAGTAGTGTCTGGTTAGTGCTTTATCTCTAGCTGTTCAGCACCATTCATTACTTCTCATTTGTGCTTTTTTTTTGCTTTGTGTCTGATATAGATCAATTTTTCTACCAAAGCTGTAATGCAGTATGGCTGGGAAGTGAGGGAGGTGCAATCTAATCAGGTTTATCATTTGTGTTAACTTTTAATGTGCTTTTTTTTTTGCTTTGTGTCTGATACAGATCAATTTTTCTACCAAAGCTGTAATGCAGTATGGCTGGGAAGTGAGGGAGTTGCAATCTAATCAGGTTCAAAGTAGTCACCTATTAGTTTCTCCAAAGCTTTTTACTTTTTAAGAGAGTGTTGCACATATGTGGTGTGAGCTATAATTTTATAAAACATAATTTGACACTCAACAATAAAGAGTAGTCTTTATAAACATGAGATGTCCTTGCTAGTATGAGAAGAATTCTGTCCCTGTGTCAGGTAGCAACTTTGTAAGCTTTATATTTGTGCATATTTGCCCTCTACTTTTCTCAAATGTGAATTTTCTCACATTTTTTCACACATTGTGTTCTTTGGAGTCAGATGAAGACTGCTGAAAACTCAGGAGGACTCCACCAGCAAAAATACTTTGAGACTGGCTCCTGGGCTGTCCTTAAGACAGAGTTGAGCTTTTCTTAACATTCCTGAAGCTGTCCCATGGCTCTGCATCAGGTGGCACACCCCAAAATGGTCCCTCATCTGTGTTTTGCTCTATCAGCAAGTGAGAGCACAGTGCTCTGCCCTGCAGGTGCACATTAGTGCTGATATAAACTGAAATATGTGCATATTTACTGGGTTATTAATTGTTTATTAATATCAGGCATTTTGTCAACAGTTCAATAATTGCTTGATCAAACGAGGAGTTTTTAAAAGAACATAAAGCCTTTTAATAGCATCTCTATATAATTTTAGCATTCTTATATAGGAGACTTAAGTTCTGTTAGCACAAGAAACTGTTTCCTGGTAAAAGTATTCCCAGTTTCCCATGGGGAAGTAAATTATTGCTAATCCCTGGTCAGATAACAGTTGTTTTGCCTGTAATGCAGGTCCCCCCAAAGTATCTTTGCTTTTTTTCTTGCTTGGGAGCCACAGATGCCAGAGGGGAGGGTGTTTTGATCGGGCTCCCTGCGGGAAGAAATGCTGTCAGTGTGGTTCCAGGAAGCAATAAGCACCTTCATGAAAATAACTCAAGTCCCCATCCTTAATCCCTGCCTATCCTTTTTTATCTGATGGACTCAGCGAGGGCTGGAAGATCACAGTGTGGCTGAAAACAAAAGGGAGTTAACAAGATGTGACCAGTCAATGGATAAAACAATAAGCGAACCCCTCCAGGCTGCCTAGTGCCCGGGGGTCCTTCCCATGCCCAGGGAGCCATGTGGATCGTGGTGAGCTTGCTCTGCTGCCTGGGGCTCGGGGGGCTGCCGCGGGCGGGAGCCTCCTGCCCATCGCAGTGCAGCTGCATCTTCCACAGCCTCAGCGAGGGGACGAAAGCCAGGTATGCCCGGGCGCCCCTCAGGGGGCTGCTGCTCTTTCTCTGCGTCTCGGGGGGTTGATTTCTTCTCCTCTGTGAGGATCCTCGGGGTAGAAAATACAGCATCCAGGCTGCTGTCTGTTATTTTTTCCAGTTGCTTTGCACTCCAGCTTCGTTTGCAGAGGATTAGCTTCTGAAAACACAGTAAGCTGATTTCACAGAAAGCGTTTGGGCATCTCTGTGAGAACAGAAGTGCCATAATTACCACTGGCACAATGGCAAAAAGGGAATAAAATTTAAACGACGATTTGTTTTTTTTCACCTTTGTGCTGTAAATGCTATTTTTAAAAGGCTTTATTCTGTTCTACTGGTTTGTTTCTGAAGTGTGACTGGGTTTGGCTTATGTCGTGGTACCAAAACCTGCAATTCCATCCACTTCAAAAATCCTTCAGTTGGAGGTTTTAGGCAAGGCGACAGACTCTAGATGGAATTGAACAATAAAAAAAGGTAATAATAATAATGATAGGAAAATAGATAATTTACCAAACTGGAAACTTTCCATCCCAAAAGAAGACAAGACCAGAAGGACATCCATTTTTGAATGCAACGCCACTGTGCAGACATTTCTATGGAGGACTGCAATAAAAAAGTGCTTCTGGAGGGTAATCACAAAGTAATGATCTGGCTTAATGAAATAAAGGTTATGTTTATTATGAGGTGTGGTTCACAGTAAGAGGAGGTTTCGCTGCAGAGATACGGTATTAGCGAAATCCTTTGGAAGACATTTTTTCCTAGACAAGACCACAGTACTGAAGTGAAAGGCTATCCCCTCTATTTTAGATCCCCATGAAATAGGTCTACTTTATTATCTCTTTTATGGTGCTATAAATTTAATACCAAAAACTTCTAGTGGGAAGTGTCGTAGACACAAGTAGTCTGCAGTTGTTAGAAGGGAGGGCAACAGCGGGAGAGCCAATTATTGCTCTGTAGATGTCACAGTTCCCAGGGGAATTTTCTCTCAGTGTCTGGAAAAAGCTGTAGTGTGTTTTAGTAAGAAACAAAATAATGCAAATATCCATTAGTCCTTTAAGGGGCACAATGCCACTTTTTTTTTTTCTGCATTATGTTTCATATTTCTCACTAGTAGAAGATTATCCAATAGATTGTTTGCTGCTCACTGATATGGTTTAGGGACACAATAAAAAGCACAGTGTTTTACTGCCATAGTGCCTCTATTAGCAAACATTTTGCATCATAACCACACACAAAAAAGAAAAGTCTGCTGAAAGTTTTTTTTCTTATTTGATAGATTCTTCTTTTCCTCAAAATCTTAACTTTCAGCTGAGGACGGGTAGGATTTAATGCCACAATAAAAGTGCTGGATGAGAGTAATAAACTATGATTATAAATTAACAATCAACTCTAGGCTCAGCTAACATTTAACTCTGTGGAACTTGCATGAGCAGTTCAGCAATGTTATTTATTTTTGTTAATAGAGGAATAACTACTTTCAGCCTGGTTTGGGCAGCTTTGTAATATTCTGTCAGCCAGACAAGGTAATAAGAAAATGTTACTCGACTGATCACATTACATTTCTTGTGGCATCTTGTTGAGCATGTGGAGTGGGACATGCCTGTCTAACCTGTAATCTTTTGCAAGGTGGCTTTGTATTTTAAGAGCTTGCCTTTCTCTCCTTGCACATAGAAAAATGCAGCCTGAGAGACCTATTTTGTCTCCCTTCATTCCTCATGTCAATCCCACATCCTGGCAAAGTCAAAGTCACAACGTTTTGTACGAAGGCTGTGAAAGTGCAGCGTAGGTTTTTTATGATTTGACCTCTAGAGATTAGAAATGGGAAAGAACAATTAAGACATGTAAATCTGCTTTGCGTTTAGTGTAGCATTTCCCAAAGAGCTAATTTTCTGCACTTTCACCCTCATAACTGTACCTGCCTGTGGTGGAGTGATACCATCTGTGCATCCCTTCCAGGCTGTTCCATAGTAAAGCAGAGCTTGCTGTAGTGTGATTCCAGTGAGCTGTGAGCTGACAACACTGTTAGTGTTACCCTCACTTCACAAACCAAAGATCTCGTGCCACGTTTAATCTCTATTACTTCCTGCCATCCTACACATCAGTAACTTCTCTTCACATGTCTTTTATTGTTCAGTTTAGGGATCCTTTTGTGTTTAACATGCACTAGAATCCTCTGTTGTGCATGAATGTTGTCACTGCTGTCCATCACAAATATTAAAAAAATGAAAAAGGAAAAAAAGAGCAGTAACTCTCTACAGGCCAGACTCAGCCAGACCACTCAACACTGCAGTCTCTGCAGTCAAAAAATACATGTGAATTACTGCAAGCTGATGTACTTATGGTGATGTGGAGATCACCAGCACATAAGAACGGACAAGAAGAAATCCTGGGGAAAAAAGAAAGGCAGATTCAACTTTTTCTTACATTAAACTAAAGTCTCACAACCTTTTCAAAAGACAAGAGAGTCACAACGTGCGTTTGTGTTTCCCCACCAGGACAGTGCTGTGTAATGACCCCGAGATGACCCTGACTCCTGTGAACATCCCTGTGGATACCTCCAAGCTTCGGATAGAGAAGACGGCCATCCGCAGGGTGCCCGGGGAGGCTTTCCACGCGCTCCACAACCTGGAGTACCTCTGGATGCCCTACAACTCCCTGGCCAGCCTCAGCAGGATCACCTTCAAGGGCCTTCGTCGCCTGCAGGAGCTGAGGCTGGATGGGAACGACTTGATTTCATTCCCCTGGGAAACCCTGACTGACATGCCACAACTGAGGCTTCTGGATTTACACAACAACGAACTCACCTCGGTCCCTCCAGACGCTGCTCGTTATGTCAAGAATATCACATACTTGGACCTGTCTAGTAACAAGCTGATGACCCTTCCTCAGGCTCTTATTACCACCTGGGCCAACCTCCAGGCTGTCCCTTACTTCCCCAGCGATAACTCCAAGATCATCCTAGGTAAGAGAAGTCCCTGTCAGTTTGCAGGAGACACAAAAGTCAAGAGCACCACGTCTTATTGTGGCATTTTGATCCACTGCAGTTACTGCAGCAAGTACACTGTTGTGTTTAATTCTCTCTATAAAGTGTGCAAATTCATTTACTTATTAACAAACTCACCTTGGGCTCTCCACACCCAGATAATTACTCCGTAAACTTCATCACTACCTTGAATCTTTTTAACAAAAAACTGGTGGCTCTTGCTCAAGCCCTTTTTATTTAGTTACACTTCCATTTTGGACAGAAAACAAATATGATTAGAGCTCCACATAATTTGTGTGTTCTTTTCTAATGACTGTTACTATGGAATTGATCCATTTTAAGCAGTGTTAAATAAAAAGATGGATCTTTATCATGTCCAAATTAAAAACAAAAAAACTGGTGGCTCTTGCTCGAGCCCTTTTTATTTATTGACACTTCCATTTTTGACAGAAAACAAATATGGTTAGAGCTCCACATCATTTGTGTGTTCTTTTCTAATGACTATTATATGGAATTGATCCATTTTAAGCAGTGTTAAATAAAAAGATGGATCTTTATCATGTCCAAATTAAAGAGGAATAAAGCCATCACTGAGCATAAAATACGGGTGAAAACTGCCAGTTGTCCCTTTTTTATCTGTTCACACAGAGTTGAACCCTACTCCTTCCAAACCCACCAAGACAGTTCTGTCTTCAAGGGCAGCTATAAATTTACAATAATCCACTTTTTTTTGGAGACAATTCTGGGCTTTCAGCTGCAGCATCTCCAGATGATGTTTTGAGCACGTTTACTGGTTCAGGGTATTACTACTCAGCCTTTTTGCTGGCGTGCACTGGTTCAAACCCACAGCAGGTTGATGATGGTTCAGAGTTGTTGCCCTCTGCTGTCTTCATTTGTTATGAGCTGACCAAGCTCTACTCACTGTTTGATCTGCAGGGTGTGTGCATCTTTGTGTACTGCCTCTACAGCCATGGTTATGGGTTCAGGCACTTGCTGATAATCTCATCAGAGACACTGCAGGTTTTCTCTCGTGCTGGGAAGTACCCACTGCTGTTTGTGCTTGGGATAAATTTAGGGGGATAAAGTTTTAAAAATGAGATTGCAGTGGAAAGAAACACAAGACTTTAAAAATATTCAAATTGCTACTTACAAAGCTTTAAGTGTCCTTAGCAGCTATTGTTTAAGGTTTCATCATCAAGAGAGGAGCTAGTGTTCCATCATCTTGTTTTGCCAGATGCAGTATCAAATTCTCTAAGTCAAAACCAGCTGTTTGGGATTGTCCATGTCATCTGTGGCATGACAAGGCACTGCCTAGATCATACTGTTTTGGATTGACCCTGTGTTTCTGTGGACTCTAGCAAACCCAGGCAGCTCCCTGATGCTCATGGAGCCTTACAACTCACCCTCTGTGCTTGTGTCAAATGTTGGCTCTTGAAACAGGACTATATTCTTCAATATACCCCTCTATATGTATATATTCTTAATATAGTCATTGTCTACTTATGTTCCTTTATATGCCATAACATGTATATTCTTCTACTTAATCCTTAAACCAGCTCTTTCATCTTATCAAGTATAAATTAGCATTTCAGGAAAAACAACAGATTACTAAAATAATGAAAATAACACAGAAGAACAGGGCTGGAGGAGAATTCTTGCAGTCAGGTAGGATCATCTACACCTATTGCAGGCCTGGCAGTTTGCATTACAATCTGGCTAATGTTTGAATAATCTCCAGTGAGAAGAATTTCCTGGCCTGTCTAAGGAAGACTACATAGTCTCCTTGTACCAAAAAAATCCATCCCCCAAACCAAACAGACTGTTCCTCATTTTTTCCATCCTTGAACCCAATGTCTTTATAATAAGTTCTTGTTCTGCTTCTTTACATACATAGTCTTTTTTTTTTCATTGTATTAATAATCACTCTTTGAATTTATAGAATATGATTTCAAATTCAGATTTTGAGACACTTTAGCAAGTCATATTTATTTCCTTCTGCTAACTGGCAACATGGGATCCATCAAAGTCAGACAGCAGCAGTGGATGTCTGTCGGGACATCCCTCCCTCCCCAGCTCTGCATAGCACTGCATACAGACTGAGAGAGTTGGGGCTGTT